GTGCTTGATGGATCGAAAAACACTAACACTGAAAATGCTTCTGAATTAAGCTCGATGGAGTCCTCATCCAACCCTTTTCCTCATTTTGATAAAAGTCCCATCATTGACGATAATGTAAAAAAGATGTAGGATTTTCACTTAAAAGCTATTGTTGATATACCCGAGACAAGAGAAAGCTAACAGAACCAAGGAAGTTCAATGTGTTTGAAATATGAACCTACTCCATCTGGTAAACTTTAAGCTTGTTATGTTTAAAACTATTTAAGTTACATTTTCCTTTAAATTATTAAAATGTCTTGTTATGAGAACTCCTATGTTGTGTCTTAATGAGCAGAATAATCTAGCTGGCTATGTTTCTATTTGTTTTTTCCTCGCATGTCTCCATGTTTTTAGTGGACTATTTTTTATAAACCATATAGATTTATTAGTTCTATGCACAATATTCTAGATCTATGACCTAGAAGATAATCTTCAGTTGACTCTTCAAAACTCATGTTTGACTAAGTAGGTTCTATATTAAGCCAAGTTTGTTTGAATTTGGGCAAATCCTTTGTGTTCAAAACAATCTTGTTTTAAAAGTGTAACTTCGTATTCGTTGAGTTCCAAATAAATCTACTTCTCCATGGGCCACAACCTCAACTTTAAAGAATTCAAGCTCGTTATGGAGTAACAGGGGTTTCACATTCTGATAGGGTACTACATTACACATGAACACCTATTGATGTTATTACTCCTTAAGTGATTGATATTGTCTATTGTCGTCACTATAAATACGGAAACGTTGTGCATCCAAATAAATTCATATTGAACCAAAAATGGTAATGAAACCTTCCTAATAATCTTAAGTCTGACAATCACATTCCTGATATTATGGGACAAGAATTGTTTATTCTAAATACTACGTACAACATATTTCCTATAATATGATGGATACTTCCCTCAATAAAATGTCTCTGACACTTAGATACATCTCTATCATCTAACGACAGACAGATCAAGAACATTTTTCCTAAAGGGGACATACACAAGTATACATTATCCTCGATAAAAGGATTGAAACCAAAATTAGAAAAATGGTCAGACAAGAACTACATTGAGCTTAATTCAAGAGCATATTCAGTGTCAACACTTTCTATTCCATCGAGCATTATATCTTCTAGGATAAGCACATCATAATAAGCAAAAAGTACAGGCACTTACATGAGATTGAGAATGCTATCAAGTTTCATGTTTTAAGAAGTGATAGAGAGAGCTTATGATGTTCCTTACTCTATAAAGTTCTGTTGAGGTATTTGCTGCAACTCTCCAGGCTATTGCCACACAATACTCACATTATCAATAGTATAGGCTTGACAAGATGAAAGCAAGACCCATGCCTAAAAGCCTCACGGTAAATTTCTGGAATGTGATCAGCGAATGTTGCTAGATTACAAATGTTGTGGGTCATCCAAAAAGTGTAAAACAACTCACAAAAGGCAACATATACGCATATCTTTTGAAATTTATGGCTTCATAAAAAAATTCATCAAAATGCATAGCAAGATAGGAAAGTTGTGAGAGTCTCGTACCAGAGTTTAACTCAAGTCCAAGTCCTACCTAACACATATCTAATGTGGATTCGGCTGAAAAGAGCATTCAACCAACAAGGACATGTTGAGTGAAACTACAACCCTCAACTTTCACATAACTTTGAAGTTTTGCTCCAGTAGAATAGACTTTATGAAAAATAATGGAGATATTTAAATTTTGAACTATCAAGACTAGATATACAATATTAAAAGATCCTTTTATTGAAATTAATTTTAGACTATCAGGGTGTAGCTCAAAAATAGCCTCGCTTATTCGGTGAGGACTAGAAGTGTTTTCCCTTCATTTTGAAGGAAGAAGGCAGATACTCCAATGTTGATATAACCTTCCTGTGATATCCATCCAATATTCAATAAGATTTGTGTTAGGTATATCTTAAATCCAATTACATAGATTCTTTTTAGCCATAAACCAAGCTTGAACAAGACTCCCGTTAACCATCCCCCTTTGCCATTGTGCTAAGCCTAAACAGCATAGAGACCTTCTATATTTCGCCCTATGCTTGGTTTGGTAGGAGGGGAGGTGGAGTGAGATAAGGGACAAAACAAAAAATCCTCTTTAGTAGGGAGGTTTTGAAGGGGGTGAGGTGGAGTGAGGTAGGGTATAGTGAGAGAAAGTGCAAAATGAATAGAAAGCGGCGAGAGAGAAACATCCCCCAAATTTGAAGGGATACATGAGAGAATAGATTCATTCTATAAGACTCTGAGAATAGATTTATTCTATAATGACTCTTATACCCTCATCAATTTTTCATAATTAACCAATTGTCTACTTTATAAAAACCCTATCTTTATTTCTCAAAGTGATATTATTGTACTCACTCATGCACCTCCCTCTTCTTATCCCCTCAACCAGACCCCCAAAAAAAAGATCATATACCTCCCCACACTCCCGTTCCAACTAAACAAGAAAACACAAAAGAAATCTTTGCACCTCACTTTACCTAACCTCCTCATACCCCCTACCAAACCAAGCCTATGTTTAGGGTAAATTAGAATTAGGATACACCATTATTGGCAATAAAGCAGAAGAGTGCCACTTATAATAAACATCCAAGTAACTCCTCAAAAACACCCTAACTGAATCCTTATTATGGGTTCTCTAAAAAAACCATTGAGTAATATATTACATTCTCCCAGTCTTGGTATATGAGGAAATCTTCCATAACTTAGCCGTTAAATATTTACCAAAATTTTCCCATAGTTATACAAATTGTGTTTATGGTTGTCCAATCAAGCAAATGTTTCCAGAGGCATGCCTTCAACTTCTAACTAGCCACACAGATGTACAATCAAATTTTCCACTAGTCATCCTCCTCCAAAGAAAGAAAGAAGAAATTCTAATAGAAAACCCCATTAGATATTTGACTTCTAAGGCAATGCCTGAAAATCACCCGAGAGGGTGGGGTGAATAGGGTGATGTGGCAACTATTGGGAAATTAAAACTTATTCTCTTTTCAGTTCAGTTTATAAGTTATCTACACCTTAATAGTTTTTCACAACAAAACCTCAATATTCAACTTGCAATAAGATATATACATAATCTGGATGCAAAATAAATATGTAAGTTCAGAGATCACCACATAGAAAACACAATCACAAACAAATAAATTTTTATAGTGCTTCAGCCGATACACCTATGTCCACTCTCCTTGATAGCATCCCAATTCTTCATGATCTCCACTAACTTCTACTCCAACCCAGAGATTAAGTTACAAACCTTGCTTTTGGAGTCAAGACCTCCTTACAACAATCTCCAAGTCCGAATGCAAGAGATCCTCCAAAACACTGAAGCCAACACTTGATCTCTAAAACTCTAGAGATTAAAAAAAAAAATCTCCTAAAACCTAGGAAACAAGTCACCAGAATACAGTGTTTCCTTTTCACAATATAAAGACCATTAAGCACAAATAAGAGTTAGTATATACTTTTGTGAAACACAAGTTTATCACAACAATAAGCACAATTCTCTAATAGTAAGTCAATTCTAATAATGATATTTAAATTTAAATTAAATACTAAATCAAAGAATCGATTAGAGAGAAATTAGCAAAAAATCAGACAGGAAAACCAATATCCAAAAATCTGATCAAAACTCAATCCGTTTACCCGACAAGTCACTAAAAATAGATCAAGTTACAGATCGGAATGGCTAAAGATCGTTGTGAATAATCACGAGTTATTCTCTCAAAAAGATTGAAAATGAAAACTCAACATTAAGCGTTTTCCTTCTATTTGTAAATAGATTTTCATTTGCTTATTCTCTATGAGAAAGACCTCAACTTACAGACTAGAGGTAGGGAACAAAGTCACTATGTACCATATAGAATTTTTCCACATGTTAAAATCATTTGAAATCAAAATAGATTTGAAATCACCATAGAAAGGCAGGAAATCACAAAGTCTAACATATAAAAACCCAGAAAAGACATCAAATATGCAAATTCGGACAATTTTTTGCCAGAACTACGTCATCATGTTGGTGACCAGTCGATCGGTCTATCGTCAAGTGGTTGTTCGACCACCCACTGGTCTCTGATTTTCATCAGTTTGACCTTTTCAAAACTGATTTTGACAATTTCACCCTTGGTACACTAAAATGTCCACATCTTGAACTATACAACTCAGAATCCATTCTAACTGAATAAAGAACCACTTATGTGCTCAAAGTTGAAATTAACTAGCGTTAACATCAGGAGTTCACAGTAAATACCTAAACACTTCAATAGCTTTGTATATCTTCAATATACCTCTGTTGACGTGTGTATTCCTTTTCTCTAAAGACTAATAGAGTCCTTTTTAGCCTAACATGATGTTGATGCTCAATCATCTAATCTCAAAACTCGTGCTTTTGACTATTGTATTTGAATGTTTACTGCAAAATTTGAAATGCACGACTTCCAGACCCTGTCACTTCAATATTCCTAAAGACTTCGGAAATACTAAACACGCAAATACAGTTTATTATCATCAAAACATAAATAAATCAAAATCTAAACTCAACAATTCCCAGTCTCCTAATTTATGATCATGTGACTAGACTGCTGCCGTCAACCTAGTATCTTATCTAAACAGTAACCAAGAAAATGAACTTTTAACAGAGAAAAGTTTGCATATACAATTGATTCTCCAAATGGATTTCTAACAAAAGCAGACTAAGATAATCTGTAGTTTAGAGTTAGCATTTCCCCCTGAACACTAAGCCGCAAAGAAGCTAATTATATTATTAAGATAATTTATGCTTAGTTGATTATATTTTAGCAGCAAACAGTTGATCTATATACACAAACATTTGGAACTCGAAAATTAATAATCAGGCAAGATAGCTAAATAGAAATTTCACCCTGAAAGATAATATACTAAGAATAACTAAAGACTAAAAGAAATAGAAGTGAAAACATAAATTGGATGCCACTTACAGTGACGATGCATTCAACAAACTTGAAGGCAGGCATTCTTAACATGTGATAATCAACCATAACGAGATCAAATAGTTTCCTTTTCATATACTGAGTGCACAAAGCTTTCACTGCGTTATTGAAGGATTCAACTGGTAAAGACAAAGATAAATATCAAGACACATTCAAAATGTTGAACTATTATTCAAGAAAGTAAAGGTTTTAAGACAAACATGACCTTTTTTGAGAAAAGAAACTGGGCATGCGGAGATTTGCTGACAGAAACAATTCAATACTAAACTACAAACTAATGGAGCAACTATAAGGCCTGGCAGCAATTGAAATAGCAGAGTAATTCATCACTTCAAGATAGTATGAACTTTGCAGCTTATATGCTAATGCTTTAGAAGTAGTAGAACTATAATTTACACTACACTGTCAGTTCTTAATCTAAGTGAGCATATGAATCACATGTAGAGTCATCATTTGTTAAATATCTCATACCTAAACCTAAATTCTATAGATTTCTCTTTTAATTTTAAACAATCTATTAGTTAGAAAGATTGTTGGGCGAGCACTGAAATCCAAAACCTAGAAAGTATCATCCTCAATTTTGAGAAATTTAACCTTTACAGAAACAGAAAGAAGGAAAGAAACATGAATATACCAATTACCATTCTCTTATGGGGAGGTAAAATTAATAGCTTCAACAAGACCTAGACTTGATTGGTTTTCCTCATATGACAAAATTGCTAAATATTGATCAAATTTTGTTTCATTAGGGTGTGAAATTTCATTGCTTACGAATAAATTTGTCATTTGATGCAGAAAGATATTTCTCCTAGAGGATTAGACTAGTAGTTCAAGCATCCAATACTTAAGGCTTTTTTTAACTTATTAGCATATATATAATGATTTTCATATGCATAAATATACCGATTACCATTCTCCTAAGGGGTGGTGAAAGTAATAGCTTCAACAAGACCTAAACTTGATTGGTTTTCCTCATATCACAAAATTGCCAAATATTGATCGACTTTTGTTTCATTAGGGTGTGAAATTTCATCGATTAAGAATAAATTTGTCACTTGATGCAGAAAGATATTTCTCCCAGAGGATTAGACTAATAGTTCAAGCATCCCATATTTAAGGCTTTGTTTTTTCTCTTATTAAACTTATTATATATATAATGATTTTTGTATGCATAAATTATTTCGAATTTCTTGTATGTTTTAATTATTTCAAGATTCTTGAAAAGGTGTACCTTTGTATGTATGCGTACATACTTATACATGTATGTATGTAATCTTCTGCATGCTGCATCTACATTTTGAATGAATGAAACAAGAGTGTTCGAAATAAACTTAGTCATGCAGATACAGTGTTATGATTTTATGATCATCATCTTTTTGCTATAACAACACTACCCCTATACTGGAATACACAAACCACATGAAGCAGTGTTACAACTTGAGTCAGAAAGTCAAATTACTCTCTTCCATCTTCTAATATTTCCTCTAATCTCCTCTTAGTGTATTTATTTCCCTCTTTCCTCTTCATGCATATTATGTATCTACTTTCTCTAGTTACAAAAATTCTTTGAGCATCTTGCTACAGTTAATTTATAAAAAAAACTCCTTATTTCTTCATTCAGTGTTCTAAGTCAATACAAAGAGATATCCATATTGTATTCATGTCTTGTACATTCGTTAAGAGGTAATTTCTATAATATTTAACATGTTGTACTTTTTCATTATTACTTATATTTTTGGTTATTTAGAATGGAAGTAGGACTTTTCTGAGACATCCACCCTTACACTGATCCAAGCAATCTGTACCAACTAATGTGTTAAGATAAATGACATAACTTATAAATTATAACATTCTAATGCAAATTTTGGAACTTCGTAATTTTTTTTAAAACAAAGTACTAAGATCTCATCATTTGTGTTTATGGGCATTAAAACCAACACTTCTTTGCAGTTGTCTAACAATAGAAAAAAGTTGTCAGAAATTTCTAAAAACTGACAGGTCAACAATGTGTCAGTCTATATGCATAAATTCATACTATTTAGCATGTCTGCAACATGTTGTGTAATTATGCATTTACACTTATCCATACATATATATAAATGCATATGTATGGCAACATCCACATAAATATATGATATAATACCACAAACTACTCATTAAAAGAAAAAAACCCAGCATTAGGGATGTTTGGGTGTTTGGTAAATTAGATTAAACATTGGGAACTTACAATTTTTCCCATTTCAGTTGGAAAGTCATTGGAATATAGTTGAAAACTGGAGGATAACATTTTTGCATATTACCTATTTTCATCTTCTCCTAACTTTTTAATAAATTTGATGTAAAGATGAATAAGCTAAAAGGAGAAACCTTTTTTACTTTTTTTTTTTTTTTTTTTTTTCTTTTTTACCTTTTTTTTTTTTTTTTTTTTTTTTTTTGCTCTTTCTTCTTACTATTTTAAATGGTCAGAGTTTCGACTAAATGATTTGAACCAATGTTTGAAAAAGCTTTTTTGAAGCTCGCTTCGAGACTTCTTAAAGGACAAACGCTTCAAAGCTCAACAGTAAAGCTATTTATCCCTTAAAGCTTATGCCTCATCGCTTAAAGCATTATTGAAGTGTGCGTTTCACGCTTCATAACAGCACTTCTCTTTTGAGAAGCGCTCCGGACAAGATAGGAAGATGTAAGATGATTTTTTACTAGAATTAAAGTGCCCTTATGTATCTTCAATTTGACCATATGACTATAAATAAGATGTATGTCATGCATGTAGCTTATGTGATTTGCATCTACACTTCACATATTTAGTTCTTATTTACTAATCAAGACATGAATATATCTATTTGTAAATTATTACACTATTGTATCTTATATGTTCATGATTTTTAAAATTAAAATCCCTAAACGTACAAGGATTACACCTCATGCTTTGAAGCTTACGCCTCGCTTCATTAAAGGATCTAATTCTTCGCCTTGCGCTTCCGCTTTTTAAAACATTGGTTTGAACAGATTAAATCAATCAAACAGACCAAATTTTAATTATTCAGTTCAATTTTAGAATATAATCTGGGTTAGTTTGCATTTGGCCTCAACCTACTGCTATCTTGGTCCCCTAAAATCCATTCTTCCTTTTCCTCCATCAATTCACAAATTTCTTCTTCCAATTCTCAATTTTTTCATTATTTACTTGATTCGCGTCATTCTTTCATATATCTCTTAATCTGCATTTTTACTTCACGGAGTTATTGATTCACATCTTTTTTCGGGCCAAAATTGTCCATTTTCTTAACTAAGTAAGTCCAAGCCAATTCGTAGAAATTGACCAACCGACTTTTTGTTCACACTTTCCAATGTCCCTTTTTCATGGCTCATTAGTTGTCACATCAACTTCCCAACTATACGCTTTCTATCATTTGAACAAAATTTGCAAATAGCAAAAATGAGAAACTACTTTCTCTTTAACATCTCGTATCCCATGTACTTTTCAGAATGTCAAACACACCATAAGAACAAACCCACTTTCCATATGATCTATGGTTCAAAGAAGCCCCCCTTATGTCCAATGGTAAAAAAATATAAAGTAGAAAATCATTTCCCCCTTCGAGGTGGGGGAGGTTAGGGCCTTCCCGATCAAATCGAAGCATTACAATAAAATATATCTTTTTTTCTACGAGACAAACAAAGGTGAATCCATTATCGAATAATGTCTACAAATAAATAGAAAGGAACAATAAATAATATTAGCTTTGAAGAGGCAGGATTTAATATAGTGCAGATGAAAAGAAGATAGGTGGGCTCTTCATCGTCAAACATGACCTTCAAACCTAAAGGGATTGACCCGTTAACCCCGGGCAACAGCCAGATCTCAGCTAAGATTCCCAATGGAGATTAACCTAAAGGGTTGGACCCATAATCTTATTCATTAACAACCTTCACCTTCAAACATCCACATGGCATAGTAGTATGCTTACATCCACAAAGAGATGGAAATTTGTTACTTGAGAATGATTGAAATAATTTCTTTCTTCCTAGAAATCTCTTGATTAAAATTATTTTAATCTCCACAACATGATGTTCTAACGATGCATTGAGTTCCATCAAATTCAAAACCAATTTGATTTCAGTTCTAGTTGGCTTTTAGGTACTTCTCCAAATCATATTTGTTTTCCTTCACCACATCGGAATATCCTAGCAATGCATCAAAGAACTCCAAGTATAGCATAATATCAGTTCTAATTGAACTCAAACTTTTCCATGTTTAACTTTTCTTTAGTTGGTAATTTCCCAGCCTTCTTTGACTTCTCCATTTTGGCTTGATACAAGACAAAAATACAACCACCTCCATCTTCATTTGCATTCAAGTGTTCCCAACTTGTAAAAAGTATTGAAACTATAACATTCAACAAAACTTCTAATTTTTGGTATACCAGAAGGGACTTTAACATGGTATCATACCAAAGCAACCATGTTCAAATCCCACCAGACAAGAATTTAAAGTGGATATAGGAAAATACATCATTGCGTAAATAATAAAGATTTCCACCCATAACTGGACGTTCAACCTTGCGGAGCTGAATTAAAGATAAAATTATTAGCTCTCTCCATAATTTCAGAGTTTTGATGTAGTGGAAGGGACTTTAGCACAAATATTGGAATGGTTCATCATTTACTTCATCATTCTTCCTTTCTTGAACATGTCTTAATGTATTTTTTTTGGCACTAATATTAATGTGATCCATTTAACCGCGCTATCGTTTATTATCGCACCACATATTACACAAAAGATACCTATGTTAGAAGTTCCCGCTCAAAGAAGATAGTGATCAGATTTTATTTCTTTCAAAGAAGATGACCTAAGATAAATTAAGGGTGCATTTGACTTGACGCATGCAAATTGTGTTAGTAAACTTAGCCTAAATTATACATTTTAGGACATACTTTTCGACATTTATAGTATCTTTACGTAATTCATCAACACCTTTGGTTGGAAGTGTGTTTAATTGCTTGCTATGGAGGAAAAGGTTAATTTACTGATTGGTCAACTGCTAATTTGCTTGAGTACTGTCTTTTAGTGACTATTGCACTTGAAGCAACCGATTTGAACAGAACAAATGTGGAAAATAGACACTTAATGTTGCTAATTTTAACACCACGAAACAATTATGAATTGAGCATTAGTTATAGCAAAGTTGCTTCCAGTTCCATCTTTCCATCCCACCAAACAACCCATAATGAAAGTTTCAAACGTAGTTGCGTAATTCTTAGAAACCCCTCGAACTATCATATAGTTTCTCCAAACCGATTTACAGTTACATTAGTAAACCAATTAGTAAACCAATTCCCTTTGGTGCACAAATTAGTTCCCAAAATTGGTGTATTGGTTATAAGTATGCGGGATGCTCAGTCCCATTACATGCACATACCCTGAGTGCAATGTGATGGGTGCGCCGAGTGAAGCCAGGCGCAGGCCGCACACATAACGTCTTGTCTTATGCGTTCAAAAATTTTAGACGTGAATCATTATAGTATTTTATATGAAAAAGTATTCAAATGCATAATTAGCTTTCTATTTTCTTTTTTTCTACTATACACTTTAAAAAATGGTAAGTTCATCTAAAAAATTTATGATAGACCATGTACCAAACTTGGGTGTCAAAGAAACTTATCCCACTCGAACTCGAAATGACTAGATAGCAAATTGCGTACACGAATTTGTACCACAAGTTGCTACGTAATGCATACAATAAGTTATAGAACACCCCAATCTGATATTCATCCCTTCATTCAAGATGTTTGACCCAATTTGATTGGAAAAAAATTTCATATATAAACTAATAAATTAGGTGCACAACAAAAATCAAGAGTTCTATAGTGAATCAGGCAAAGATTAGTAGTATGGTATCAATTAGGTTATAACTAGTAGACATGGACAAAAGTGTTACCAAACTTGCAGAAAAAAATCCAAGTGGGTCGGGCATATCAATCTTTATTGAGGGAAGTGTCTTCATATTATAGAAATTAGGTTCTATTTAGAATGAAGAATAAAAAGATTCCATCCCATGCTATCAAGAATATGATTCCAAAACTAAAATTTATCAGGCATGTTTAATTAACATTTTTGGTACAATATGAAGATTTGGAAGTATAATTTTTCATATGTATACAAACGATGGGTTGTGGACTATATCAGCCACTTGCGGACCAGCAACATCGCTGAGTATTCATGTGCTAGGTAATCCCATATCAGAATGTGAATAAAAAGTAAAATGACCTAAATACAAAGTTGGGACTAAAATTTACTAAGTCAAGTTTTGGATCAAAATGATTTCCGGTATATATTGAAACCCATGTTACTCCACAACAAGCCTGAATTCTTCAAACCCCATGATGAAGTCCATGAAGAAATGGACACATCGAAAAGTTTGACTTGTAGGTGACCAAGCTATCAAAAGACGGTAGACAAATTGATATTTGAGGACAAGATTGATTTACACATCAATGAGTATCTAATAAGAAGTCTATTGAGAAGATTGCTGGGGTACTCATGTGTGAATATATCCCATTATGGAAACAAAACAAGGAGGAATTTAAATAGAGAGTTGGGACCAATTGAGTCAAGCAGCTTCTATCCTATAATAAGACCACATTTTACTCCCGAATAAGGTTTGAATTCTCTCCAATAGCTATCATAGTGGTGGTTTTACAACAAAGAAGAGTAGACATGATTAAGAGAAAAAAGCAAGTTACTCTATGAAAATAAGATTGGTTACAAGATTTGCATAAATCCAAACAAATTACCCGAGCATGGTTCTGAAAAGTGAAAACCATATTAATGACTATCTTTTAAGTTATTGATTTAGAAGATGATGCATAAAACTATAAACATGTTTGGTTAATAAAAATCAGACTACTTTAAATTTGGAAACGTGCAAGGAAAAAAGGAAAACATATCAAATAGCTAACTTATTATTCTACTCATTAAAACACATATGATAGGACTCACAATAAGCAGCTTAACAGTTCACATGAAAACATAAACAGTTGTATAAATAATAAGCTTAAGTTTTACCAGTATAATATGTTTATATTTCAAACTTCTTTGGTTCTATTTTCTTTCTCTTGCCTCACACATCTCTTTCTCAATATCCTCAATAAGAGGAATACCATGAAAATGAGAAAGCAGGTCAGATGAGGACTCCATCAAACTTAGTTCAGTAGTATTTTCAGCATTAGCACTTTCTGCTACACCAGGCACTATATCTTCTAGAGCAAGCCAATCATAAAAAATATATGGAACAGGATCCTGCATGAGATTCAGAACACTATCAAGTTCTATGCTTTAAGAAGTGATCATGAAAAGTTCATAGTGCTTACTCTTTGAAGTTCTATTTAGATGTTTGCTTCAATCCCCCAGGCTTTCTGCCACACAACACCCATATCATCAAGAGTTATAGGCTTGACAAGGTGTAAGCAAGACCCACGCTTAAAAGCTTCTAGCTGAATTTCTGGATCACTATCAGCTGATGTTGCTGCATTTCCCATGTTGTGGGTTATCAAAGAAGTGTCAGATAACTCACAAAAAGGCTAGATATATACACACATCCTTTGACATTAATATTTTGTATAAACTTTCATCAGAATGCACATGAAGCCAGGAAAATTGTTAGACTGTGATATCAAAGAAAACTAGGTTCAAGTTCTACCGGATGATCATTTACTGTGAATCAAAAGAAGATACTGCTGAGAAAGAAGCTCAACCTGCAGGGATATGTAAGAGTGTAAACTACAATCCTCAAACTCTCACCACAACATCTAATAGGAATTTTAAGATATTGCATTGATAAATCATGAACTTTACTTTTTAGTTTTGGAATATCATGAGTTATATCCAATTTTGATCAAAAACATAATTAAGAAAGATCATTTGGACGTAACAAATTAAATTTCAGACTAAACATTATCAAGATCTAGCTCAAACATAGTCTCACTTATGTGACACCTTTAAGGTAAGGGAATAAATTGATCTTTCTCCTTCATTTTGAATGGCGAAAGCGGATGGACGCTCCTATAAATAGCAAATGAATGTCTTCTTTTTATGTAAATTTACATAGGGATGCAACAGAACAAACCATAAATACATTAAGGAAAGATATAAAAGAGTCAACAAACAATGAAGAGCAACACATAGTATGTTATTCAATTTTCATATGCTTCTATCGCAAACAAAGGACACAGATTCTACTTCTACCATGGGCGACGCAATCAATAAAGGACAATCCCAACAAGCCTCACAACTCCCTCCTTAAAATGGCATCAATTACAGATCCCTTAATAAAGTAACATAGGGTGAGTAAACAAAGAAGAGCAAATCATAATATGGTTTAGCCTGAGCCCTAAAACCAAAGTTGAACTCACTTTATATAAATCTCGAAATAGGAGAATTGGAGCTCAATGAGACCACAATGCTTCACCTCACCTTTCTTGAGTCTAGAGTCTCTTCATCCTCGACCGTATGTCACCCCCTCACCCTCGACTACATGTCTCCACCATAAGCCCTTCTCTTTTTTGATCTCTCCATGCATCCCTATCCATACCTCTTAGTTCATTCCCTCGACATCTTTGCCCCGTATCTTATTTATTTGATTGACATCTTCATATGCCTAAATTCCATTATATTTGTTCAGGGTCTATTAAAATAATCAAGATATTTCATTCTTTTCAATAAAATGACAGACATATGGAGTACCACATCAAATAAACTTCCAAGTCCCTCCTCAAAAGCACACCAAAATATATCTCAATTATGGGATCTCTGAAAATCCCTTGAACACTAAGTTAAATTCCAAATATAGTCTCACAACCTTGGTAGATCAGGAAAACTTCCATAATGTTAGCTGTTAAATGTTTACCAAGATTTTCCCATAGTGATCAAAATTTTATTTAAGGTTGTTCTGTCGAAGCAAATTTTCCCTACAAGGCAGTGCATATAATCCTTGTTTGAATTTGTTAGACCGAATCTCCATCCAGACAATAACTTGTTGATATTTCTGATATTATATATGTTCTTCTTGCATCATATCAGATCTCATCTGTTCTTCTTGCATCATATCAGATCTCATCTCATAGACAGTTTCTCATCTCTGTTTATCACCTGTTACTAAAGTATCAAGAGTTATTTGCATGAAATATTTCCAAAATAATTAGAGGCATGCCTTAAACTTCTGATTTTACTTGCCATGTGGAGAGATATTCATATTTTCCACAAGTTATCCTCCAATAGATAACGTTGAATGGTGATGCCAGTCTTCTAACTTATGAAGTATATTGGTGAATAGACTGTCACTGTCAACCCCGTATCTTGTTTTAAAATTAACCTAGAACATTGACTTATATTTCTCTACATTCTAATAATTGTGGGTTCAGAAAGAATTTAGCATATAAATGGATTCTCCATATGGATTTCCGGCAAAAAGTAAATTAAGATAATACATACTTCGTATAGAGTTAGCACTACTCCCTGAACACTAAGCCACTAAGAAGTTGGTTGTATTATCAACTTAATTCATGCTTATTTGATTATATTATAGCAGCAAAAGTTTGATCTATAAACACAAACATTTGAAATTCAAAAATTAATACCAAGCTAAAGAAGCAGTAGAAAATCTAACCTTCAAATATATATAATTATATACTAAGAATAAGTACAGAAAAAATAAGTTAGAAGTGAAAACATGAACCGCATGCCACTTACTAATGACTGGAATGCCAAATCCTGTGACAATGCTCTCAACAAGTTCAAAGGCAGGCATTCTTAACATGTGATAATCGACCATGACGAGATCAAACTGTCCCCTTTTCATACAGACAGCACACAAAGCTTTCACTGCATCACTGAAGGATTCAACTGATAAAAACAAGGACAATCATTAGATACATTCAAAATATTGAACTATTATTGAAGGGGAAAAAGGTTCCTTTTTTTTAAAGAATAGAAAGTGAGCTGGTAGGCAATACATTTGATAGAAAACTTATAGCAAATCATTTCAAAACTACAAGTTACAGACAAATGTATTAAGAAATACAGCCCTGCACTTAACCTTTAAATATTTCCTATTTAAACCAAAATTCATATAGATTTCTATCTTAATTTTAAACAAACCATTTAGTTCGGAAGATTGTTTTACGATCATATTCCTTCTGGTATAACATCACCCTTACAGAATAGATGAAGGACACAAAGCAGCATGACATCTTGATTAGAAAGTTATCTTCATCCTCAAGTATTTCCTCTTACCTCCTGTTATTGTAATTTTCCTCCTTCCTCATCACCCCTCTTATGTAATGTATATGTCTACTTTCCCTAGTTCAAAAAATTATCTGGGAATCTTGCTTCGGTTACTCAAAAGGAATGCTTTATTTGTTCATTCAAGTGCTCCAAGTTAACAGAAAGAGATATCTATATTGAATTCATGTCTTCTACATTCTTCTAGAGGAAATCTCTATAAACTTTAGCATGTTTTTTAATTACATTTCATTATTATTTATATTTTTTGTTTGTTATTGAGATTGGAACTGAGACTTCCACAACATCTCCATCCCCTTACTACTAATCCAACTGCTCTGTACCAACTAATCTATAAAGACAAATGAACAAACTTACAAATTATAATATTCTAATGCATAAAATTTTTAAACGAAGTCCTAATAAATCATCGTGAGTATTTAGCATGAAAACCCACCTCTTTCGCAGTGGTCTAACAGAATACAAGAAAAAAATGTCAAGAAATTTCCAGATATTGACATGTCAACAATTTGTCATGGTCCATTGGTCTGCATATGCATGCATGAACTCCACATTAATTAGAAAGTAATGATAAGGATAAATTACACTAAACTCCCAGGAACTTTCAGCATTTCGCAGTAAACCCACAAGAACTTTCAATTCATAATAAACCCCAAATAACTTTTGGAATTGCAAAGACCCCCAATAAGTTTATCATTTTCAGACAAACCCCATAAATTCTAGCCAAGAAACAACATAAAAAGGCATTCTGAAAGTTATTAGCAATTTAGTGTACTTCACCCGAAACAAATTGGGGTTTTTCGTCAAAATTTATTGGGTATTTCGTGCTGTTTTGAAAGTTATTGGGGTTTACTACAAAACGCTGAAAGCTCTTGGGAATTAGTGTAATTAACCGTAATAATAAATACTTCTACCTTTTCTGATTTACCATTGTCAAACACCCTCGTAGATGAAAGGGGAAAAAACCCACATTTCACATGATCTATACATAATTGGTCAAACTTCTAGTGAAAATGAAGGGGGAAAAACCATCTTGGGTCATGACCAAAAACATAAAATTGAATTAGAAACCATTTTTCCCCTTTTGGGGAAGAACAAAAATTCTACAAAATTAAAAAAAAAAATCCTATCTTTTTTCTATGATACAAACAATGGTGAACCCAGACAGGGGGAAAAAACACAGGCAAGCAAACAAATGGCATGATCCATTATTGAAAAATACTTTGCAGACCAAATCAAGAAGAGTAAAATATATACCAGTGAAGAGGCAAGCTTTGAGCATGAAGGTGATGAAGAGGAGGCAGGTGGGATCTTCATCAACAACCATCACCTTCAAGCCTGAAGGGATGGACCCATTAATCCCTCGGCCGACTGCCATGGATCTGGACTGAGATCAGCAATGGAGATCAACACTGAGGAGGGACAAGGAGAGAGGATAAGCGAGAAGAGCGAGGTGAAAGAAGCAATCTTCTCGTGGGTTGGTTTTTTTATAGGCGAAGGGGGGTTGGATTTTGTAGGCAAGAGTCAGAGAGGGGAATTTGGACTTTAGTGTAACAACCCCTCTTCTGCCGTTTCCTTTTTTGGAGGCAATACAGGTACCCTAGACACACCACCATCCACATTCCTCCCCTTTGTTACAGTGCAGCGACCCTTCATGTAATTTTTTTAAGAGAAATGATAGAGGCACATCTCCGACCACACCCCTTAGCTACAATGCAGGGGGCCCACTTGAGATTTTTTTTAAAAAATCTCAAGTGGGACCCCCTGCGCTGTAGCAAAAAAAAATCTCAAGTGGGGCCCCCCTGTACTGTAGCTAGGGGTGTGGCCGGAGGTGTGCACGAGGGCGTGCCTGTAGCGCCTCCTTTTTTTAAAAAAATCACACGTGGGGCCGCTGCACTGTAGCAAGAGGGGGAGTGTGGTTAGTGGTGTGCCTCTATCATTTTCCTTCCTTTTTTGTGCTTTAGTTTTGCATTTCCCCCTTTGAATGTATAAATTTGCGGTCATATCTCACATGTTTCATGTTTTGAAAAAAATAGTATAATGCATGTGCTTTGCATGTGAACATACATATTTTAACTTTTAAATTTTTCATTGAATAGTAAAACTATGTGTTAATAAATTTAAAATGTATAATAAGATTACTTAAAAATAAATGAATTAATTAATTATTATTGTGTAGTTATCATAATTGAATGTTTTTCTTATAATGATCGCCTACTATTAATCTTTTTTTTAATACTTCCCCAAATCAATAATTGTTCTTAAAAAGAACTGTTAGTTCTATAAGTTCTCTTTAGTACGCCCCTCCAACTTGAAAGTTGTTAACTTAACTCTAAAGTAACTAAGTTGCGTTAATCTTGCTAGTTTTTTCCTGATGTTCCCTAGATAGTTGCACTTGATACCTGCAACATATTGTAATAGTTATTTCTCATTATAATTATGTAATAGGGTAAATTACACTAAACATTTATGAACTTTCAGACCATATGAACTTTTAATATTACACTAAATCTCTAATGACTTTTTTGTTTCAAAGAAGACCCTCAATAACTTTCTAAAAATTTCAAATAACCCCTATAAATTAGAACCGCAAAATGGCATAAAAAGGCATTTCGAAAGTTATTGGCGGTTTGGTGATTTATCTAAAAGATACTGGGGGCTTTCTACAAAAGTTATTAGGGTTTTATTGTGATTTTGAAAGTTCATAGGGTCAATTTAATATAAAATGATGAAAGTTCATGGGGTTTACTGTAATTTATCTTATTTAAAATTATAATTCTTAGCTCAAGTAATACTAATAAAATAATTATAAAGTATATATATTGTAAAATATATATCTAATTTAATTTTTTAATTATGCTCTTAGATAATTTAGCACTATAAATATATTTATAAATTTTTATTATAGTATCATTAGCAATTAATAGTACTATTATTAATATTAAATATTTTTTTGTGAAAAGATTAGTTTTCAATCATTAACGAGTATAGATTATTCAATATCATGTAATAATCTTTGAGATACACTAAAAATAATATTTAATTGTTTATTTAATATATTTAATAATATAATACTAAATAAATAGTATTATATTATTTAATAATAATATAATACTAAATAAATAGATACTCTAAATAGTGTGATATTATTAAAATAATTACACTATTTATGCGATTCAAAATTTATTTTATTTCTTTTTTTGCTCATTGAATTATAGTATTCCATTCATACTATTATTTTAATTATTTTATTATAATTCATTAATAATTTAATTGGTTACTACTAATAATTGTGTGTACGTAATTTATAAATTATTTTGTTTAAATAATTTTAAGTTATAATATTATTGATAATGATAATTATTTAGGAAAGTGAGGATGTGCATAATTAATAAACAGTTATATTTATTTAATGAAAGATCAATCAAAGATAATGACACAGTTAGAATTTATCAAAATTTGAGAGGGCAAAAAAGAAAATTAAAAGTTTTAACGCCTCAATCCTCTTTTTATAGTAGTAAGTATAAGTATAGATACATATAGATATAAATATGGATATAGATAGGTAGGTTGTTCCTCTTTGAAAGAAATAGGCTCTTCCTCTTTTTTTATTTACTAGTATTTAGACCCGTGCAAAGCACGGTTTCTAAAAGATTTTTTTACAAATACTGAACATGTTACCAAAATAAAGTATTTTGTTTTAGAAATAAAAGAGTAGATGTAATGCAAATAATGACATTCATGTTTGTTAATACTTTTTAACTTCAATCTGTGCAATAGAATTATATAGTAGAGCCACAACAGAAGACCCCTATGGTAACATGAAGAGCCATAGCCATATATTTGTCTTGGACTCCCATAGACAACCCAGGAAAGTGCCAGCTCTATTAACTGTTTCAACGTCAATCTGTGCAATAGAATTTAGAAAGTTTTTATATGGTATAAAGATTAAGTGAAAACAAACTAACAGATGCAGCATTAGCACCTCTACTTCCCCCTGCATTATCTTCCTTCTCATTAATGTAATAGATTCATCTGAAAAGGGCTCATCTCGACCTGGGCACTTGACACCAGAGAATGCGAAAGCAATGTTGCAAGTTTCCTTGGGAATAAGCTATTTAAAACGATGTCCACTAAGGACATATTCAACCATAGCGGAAGGAAGCATTCTACTTTTTTGTAGATCTGGAAAGAAATCTATCGCTTTCTTTGCTGAAGCCTGAGTAAAATAAAAGGTTTATATGATGCATACAAAAAAAACTAATTAATTCTCCTAGAGAAAAGTTATAGTTCCTACTGTTGTCAGTTCTGTTATATGCACGACTGTAGGTTTCGGTTCCCTGATTAACTTGCCGTCTTCGTCTCTCTCTTAATATTAGATCTGTTATAGTTCAGATATTTATTAGATATTATATTGATGAGAGGAATATTTCAACCTTTGATATTAGATTCTTGGTGGATTTCAAACAATATTAAACTTCGAAAATATGATGATATCTGAGAGTTAAAATTTATACTAACGCATAAAAAAGCTCTTAGCTTAATCACTTGCTTATAATTGACATTTCTACTTACATCTAACAATTTCTAAGCCAACCGAAAAATAATAATAAAGCAAAAAATATGCAATAACTCAAGTGGGGAGAGATTAATATCGTTAAGAAACTCTCTCAACGTATGATTCTTCTCCTGTAGAGTTGACAGACCTTGCTTTTCTGTAAACAACTTCTAATCTTCAACCAATTCTTTGGATTATTGACTCTCCTCTGCAACCAATGTGAGTAATCTCCCAGCTTATACTATTTGTATCCCCCCCACCCCCGGATTCAACTTCACCTGCACCTAGTGATCCTACACAAAATAAAACAGAGGAAGGAAACCAATGTTTAATTACCAAACCAACAATTTTTTAACTGAAATATGAGAAAAATCATAAGTTTTTCTAGTAATTGAAGAGAAATAAAACACCCCTGAATTCGAACTGCATTCATATAAACTAAAAACACAAAACACATTCCCAAATTAAAACGTTAAAAAAATTTAAAAACCAAAAAAAAAAAATTCCACTAAAATATACCCAGAGAATAGATTTACAATAAAAAAGGATGCTTTACAAAAATTTCAAATACCAAATTTACTCTATGAAACCTACTTATGTTCACATGTATTTACAACAAAAAATCAAGTATTTTCCCTTTGTCGTCAAGGACAAAACTTGGAATATTTTACGCACAAACATATTTAAATATGATTGTTCTCTATAATAAAATTTGAAAGAGAAACTGGACATGGATATCTCCACAGTCACCGGGCACTTCACCGGCTGAACATTCCGCTCCTCCATCAAGATCGACATCGCTCGCTCGTATAGCGCCTTCACCTCCACCTTCGGAAAGAACTTGCTCCCTCAGGCGCTCGATCTGGCGATCGAGATCCGAGTATGAAGGCATCGTCTTGATCGCCGATCAGCGATCTGATTCGATTAGATCGGCCAAAACTGTGGGGAGTTTGTGGATGAATAAAGAAGATGAGTACGGAAATTAGGGCTTGAGTTAGGGGCGGGGTTGGGGGAGGGGTGCGAGAGAGAGAGAGGGGTGCGGGATCGGTGGAGGTTGGGCTTCGGCGAGGGCGTTGGCGGAGTCGGTAGCGGCCATGAGGGGGAGAGACGTTGTATTTTTTTTTGAAACCTTTTCTGAAGAAATATTGATAGAGGGGGAGAGAGAATCGTGGGATTTTCGAAAAACTATACAGTTAAAAGAAATGAGACGGAGATTTTGAAGGAGAACGTGGCTTATGTGTGAAACTGTGAGGTTGGTTATTCATTTTTTTTCACTTGTTCAAAGCCTTAGGTTACTGTTCATTTTAAACTATTTTGTTGTTCTCCTTTAGTAATAAAGAAGTAGATTTATTTCTCTTTCTTTTCTTCTCACGAAAATTATATTTTAAATGATCATAAAATTGTATATTTGTTTAAAATTTTCATTTTAAAGCATGAGGGTGAGTTTCATAACTCATGGATGACAAATGACCCATTGTCATTTACCACCCAACAACAACAACAGCAACGACAACAAAAGGAGGAAGAAGAAGGAAAAATTTGGAATCCAATATTTTACAACAAAAAAAAACAGGTTCTTTCCTTTCCTTTTTTATAATAGAATAAAACCAGGTCCGTTAGTCATAAATCCTGTTTACATGTAAAAAACAAAATGAGGCAATAATTAATTAATGCTTCTTGCGTTAGAAATCATTTGGGTTTCACTGCTTATTTGCTGTTGTAAAATAGCTTCTTCATTTATTTATTTATTTTTAGTTTTGCATAAGATAATATCAAATATGTAGAGAATTGGAGGTCATACTAATAGAACTGCAAAAGCAAACATTGTATACAAATTTTGTTTTTCTTATTTGGTAAAAGCAAATTATATGGGTGAGCAAATGGTCGATTCAACTAGTTT